ATGTAAATGGATTAAATGCTCCAAAAAAGTTTCCCAGACAGGCATCTGGGTCAGCCGAGCAGCGCTCCCACTGTGGTAGTGCACTGACCACCAGGGGGCAGCTCCTGCATTGAGCATCTGCCCCCTGGTGGTCAGTGCGTGTGATAGCGACTGGTCGACCGGTCATTCCGCCTTTCTGGGCTTTGCTGGGCTTTTATTATATAGGATGATAAAAAAGAAATGAGAAATGATCATTTGCATTTAAACAACAGTAGCCTTCACTACTTACATGTGCTCATTGTATAATACATACACAATGAACATAATTACATTTGTGCACAAACTAGTAATGGATTTGAAAACCTGCTTATTGCTGTACACATCTATTCCAATGAAGTATAAGCCTAGTACTTCAAAATATCTATGTTTTAAATTGCTTTTCAAGAAAACATAATGACATTTGTGTTTAAGCTGACAAGAATGAGGCAGTAACTGCTGACATTGCAATCTGACTGAGAAATAATTATAGCAGGAAATGGAACATAATTCACTTTGAGAAACTCTTTAACCTTCAATTCTGAATGATAACTTTGCCAGGTAAATTATTCTAGGTTGCAGGCTTCTTTCAGCCTGTGAAGCTGGCCTGCTACTCCTTTCTGACCTGTAAAGTTGCTCCTGAAAAATCAGCCAAAAGCCTTTTGGCATTTCCTTTTTACATAATTTACTGTTTCCCTCTTGCTTTCTTCAAGATTCTCTATCTTTAACTTCCCATTTTAATAACAATATGTCTTGGTGTTGGTCTCTTTGGATTCGTCTTGTTTGGATCTCTTTCTCTCTCTGCTTCCTGGACTTGGATGTCTATTTCCTTCCCAGGTTAGGAAAGTTTTCAGCCATTATCCAAATAAAGGTTCTGTTCCTTTTTCTCTTTCTTCTGGAAACCTTCTAATGTGAATGTTTGGGTGCTTGATGTTGTTCCAAAGGGTCCTTAAACTATCCTCATTTTTAAAAATTCTTTTTGCTCTTCTGATAGGTTTATTTCCACTTGCCTGTCTTCCAGGTCACTGATCTATTCTGTATTGGCTAATCTGCTTTTGATTTCTTCTAGTGTATTTTTCGTTTAAGTTATAGTATTCTTCAGCTCTACCTGGTTCTTTTTTTTAAAAATTTTTCCCTTTATTGATTAAGATATTACAAATGTGTCCTTATCCCCCCAATATCTGGTTCTTTATTATACTTTCTAACTCTTCGTTGAATTTCTCCCTAAGTTCCTTTATTTCACTCTCAAGTTTGGTGAGCATCCTCATAACTGTTTCTTTGAATTCTTTTTTTTTTTTTAAGTTTTTATTTTGTTTGTTTTTTAATACAGATTTCAGAGAGGAGAGAGAAATAGAGACATCAATGATGAGAATCATTGACTGGCTGCCTCCTGCACGCCCCCTACTGGGGATCGAGACTGCAACCCAGGCATGTGCCCCTGACTGGGATCGAACCAAACTGGCTAGGGCTCTTTGAATTCTTTATTGGGCAAATTACTTATCTCCATTTCATTAGGATTTTTTTTTCTCTTATTTGAAAGATATTCTGGCATCTTCTCATTGCTTGGTTTTCTATGTTTATTTATATTAATTAGACATAATAGCTATCTCTCCCAGTCTTGAAAATATGACTGTGTGTAGAAGCAGCCTCTGTGTTAGGCTATATGTGCTGGGTGCTTTTTGCAAGCCAGTTGGAGGTGAGCAGGTGCCTGTAGCGTCCAGAGTGCTGGCGCAGCTTCACGCAGGGAGGCTGGGTGTGGTGATGCCCTGTTGATTCTGCTTACTCCTTTGTTCAGAGCCAAAGTGGGCTCTGGGCAGTGTGGCAGGGAATGTGCTGCAGCAATCTTGGAAGTGGGCCAGAGCGCCTGGCTAGAGCTCCTGCCCTCCCTGCTGAGGTGGAGTGGGACATAAACAGTGGTACTCACCAGCACCTCTGGTTCTAGAGTTCCTGCAGAGCCCAAAGAACTGTGGTTTCCAGCCTCCTCTATTTGGTCTCTTTCATTTGTTGTTGAGAAGCTGTTTAATCAGCCCTCAGTTGTCTCTCAGGAGTAATTGCTCTGTATGTAGGTGTGTATTGCAGTGTGCTCGTGGAAGAACGTGAGTTGCCCGTCTTCCTACACAATGCCATTTTGGACCCTGTTTTGTCCTTTAGAAGCTTCTGTATATCAACTAAAGAGTGTATTCTCTTGTTCCGAAGAGGTTTGGAATCTTTTAAGAGGAGAGAAGGTTGAGATAGAGTTAAAAATCAAGGTTTTCCTGAATGGCTGTTACAATTTCAAATTATTTTGGCTAATTTGGCCTATTTTATTCAAAAGGCACAAGACGAAGGACCAAAATGTTTCTCTATATATTTAGCTAGAACTTCAAGGAAGGTACTTTTTGAGGACTTGGGAAGGTGAAGATCCAGTGGTAGCGACAAAGGCTCCTGAAAGTCGCCGTGGCGGAACGTACAGACAAGTGACGCTAACTGAAAGCCCAGGTTGTTTGTTTAAGTGGGTGCCGGTCTGGGGAGGTCTGCAAACTCATCATTTTGGGGGGGCTGGCCTGGACAAGGATTTAGAGGATTCATGTGTCTTTCCCTATGTAATCTTTCTTATGACAACATAATAAACAAAAGGAATGGAAACAAATGAGTGAGCAACAAAATGAGTGCTTACCCATCAGGGAAGGATCCTGCAGGCTGCTCACCTTCCAGGCACTTCCCACAGTGTCAGGGCCGTGAAAAGTCCTTCCAGAGGAAAAGATATTCTTTCTCATGTGGTAGCAGGCCCTCAAATTCCTGCTGGCATTAGGACAGGCGTCCCTGGGGCAGAAACCCCTCCTGGTCTCAAAGTCATTTACCTCAATCAGGAGGAGGGATTTTCACACCAGAGAGGCTCCCATGGTTGGGGAGGCAGCCTCCATGGGAGCAGCGCGCAAACTCGGCCCCGTAGGTACCCGGTTCTTCCAGGGAACGCCAGTCCCATTTTCAGTCTGGTAGTCATCACATCTGCTTTCTTGTTATTTTTGCAAAGTTCTTTGGTATATAATTGTGCTGTCGGCCCAATCCAAACATTATTTTGCCCAATTTTAACATTCCAAAGGTTTGAGGAGTGAGATGTGCTCAGCAATTCCTCCGAGATGGCAGCTCCATCTCCATTTTTATTTTTTATTTAATTTTTATTGATTTCAGAGAGGAAGGGAGAGGGAAAGAAAGAGAGAAACATCAGTGATGAGAGAATCATTGATCGGCTGCCTCCTGCATGCCCCACACTGGGGATCGAGCCCGCAACCTGGGCATGTGCCCTGACTGGGAATTGAACCGTGATCTCCCGGTTCATTGTCAGTACTCAGCCACTGAGCCATGCTGGCCAGGCTCCATTTTAAAGTGGTTCCATTCATTCATGCATGCATTTTTTTTTTTAATCTTCACCCAAGGATATTTTTAAAAAATATATTTTATTGATTTTTTTTACAGAGAAGAAGGGAGAGGGATAGGGAGTTAGAAACATCAATGAGAGGAACATCCATCAGCTGCCTCCTGCACACCCCTACTGGGGATGCGCCCGCAACCAAGGTACATGGCCTTGACCGGAATCGAACCTGGGACCCTTGAGTCCGCAGGCCGACGCTCTATCCACTGAGCCAAACCAGTTAGGGCCCGAGGATATTTTTTCAGTTGATTTTTAGAGATAGTGGAAGAAAGAGGGAAAGACAGAAATATCGATATGAAAGAAACACATCGATTGGTTGCCTTCTGCACCCGTTCAAACCAGGGCCTGGGCCAGGGAGGATCCTGCAACGGAGATTAGTGCCCTTGAGCAGAGTTGAACCCAGGACCGTTAGGTCCGCAGGCCAGCGCTCTCTCCACTGAGCCAAGCTCTCTCTCCTAGGGCCACTTATTTTTTACAGTGTCCATCTTATCTTGCCTCATCCTTGGGGAGAGACGTGGGGCTTTGAGAGATCCCCGGAGGAGCTGGCATGGGGTTTTGGAGCTTTGGGGAAGGGAGTAGACGGGAGCTGGGCTGAGTGGAGAAAGCGGGCGGTGAAGTGCTAGGGAGTGGTGAGAAGGGCGTTGCAGGCTGAGGCGAGACTGGCTGTGTCCCACTCGGAGCCTCCAGCCAGTCTTGAGCCATGACCAGGTGTCCATTGTACAACGACCATTTAGGCTGCCACTTCCAGTAGAATGCACTAGCCAGGGCTAGCAGCAAGCCAGCAGCCAGGTGGAGGCAGAGGAACAGGACCGGTCAGGAGCAGGGGTGGAGAGATGGGGCCTGAGCTTGGGGGTGCCAGGGTGTCTGGGAGAATTTGAGCTGGAGGAGGGGGGTCAGGTGGGCATAACGTAGTGATGGCGAACCTTTTGAGCTCGGCGTGTCAGCATTTTGAAAAACCCTAACTTAACTCTGGTGCCGTGTCACATATAGAAATTTTTTGACATTTGCAACCATAGTAAAACAGATTTATATTTTTGATATTTATTTTATAAATTTAAATACCATTTAACAAAGAAAAATCAACCAAAAAAATGAGTTCGCATGTCACCTCTGACACGCGTGTCATAGGTTCGCCATCACTGGCATAACGGGTGCTCGTAGCAACCATTGAGCCTTCTGTGGCTGAGCTGAGTTTAGAGTCCCTGAGCTGTCACTCAGTTTTCTGAGGAGGAGCCAAGGCCCCCAGGTCACTCTCAGGGAAGGGGACAGCTCCAACCTGGCTCTGGTGAGCGTCACTGCTCAGAACCTGATGGAGCCGAGCAGGCCCGAGGGAAGGCTCCAACCTGGCTCTGCTGAGCGTCACTGCTCTGAGCCTGATGGAGCTGAGCAGGCTCCAGGGAGCAAGCAGGCCCAAGGGAAGGCCCTCCAGGGTCCCAGCTTGGGACTGGTGCCAAGGGCAGCGCTGCTGGATTCCTGTGTCTATTTGGGGGGGGGGGCATGTGTCTATTTGGGGCGGGGGGGACCCATGCCTCTTCCATGCCAGCACGTCACCCCTCCCGATACCCACCCACAGGCTCGGGACGTGTACGAGGAGGCCATCCGGACCGTGATGACCGTGCGGGACTTCACCCAGGTGTTTGACAGCTATGCCCAGTTCGAGGAGAGCATGATTGCAGCGAAGATGGAGACCACCTCGGAGCTGGGGCGGGAAGAAGAGGGTGAGCTGCTGAGGCAGTCCTGGGCTGGTAGGGAGAGTGGACTGGGATAGCCTGCAGGTATTGGGGGAGATCCAAGGGGCTGGGGCAGTGGAGAGGTGTGTCTTGGGGTCAGTCGGGCCAGCAGGGAGGGAGGAAGGGTGGGCAGTGCAGGGGAGTTTGGGGGAGTAACCCCAACTGAGAATACATCTCAAGCTTGGGCTGGACATAGGCTGGGTGGAGAGGGAGGGCTGGAGGATGGCAGAGGGCAGCAGGGAAGGAGGGCTAGGGGGAATGACGGGCTAGGAGTGAGTCTGGGGTCGGGATGCCTTGAGGCAGCTCAGGGAAGGAGTGCAGAGTGGACAGTGGGACGACTCTGGAAGGTCAGAGCACTGGGCCACGGGCTGGAGGGAGAGAGGGCTGGGAGATGGAAGTGAGTGTGTGCTGAGGCCCTCAACCCCACTCCCCTGGCCCTCCCCATGGGTCCCAGATGACGTGGACTTGGAACTGCGCCTGGCCCGCTTTGAGCAGCTGATCAGTCGGCGGCCCCTGCTCCTCAACAGCGTCTTGCTGCGCCAGAACCCGCACCATGTCCATGAGTGGCACAAGCGTGTGGCCCTGCACCAGGGCCGCCCCCGGGAGGTGCGTGTGGCCCTGCTCCCCAAAGCCCCACCCCATCCTCGCCTGCCATGGCCCCAGCTGTCCAGCCTGACCCCTGCCCCTCCTCCACAGATCATCAACACGTACACGGAGGCTGTGCAGACAGTGGACCCCTTCAAGGCTACGGGCAAACCCCATACGCTGTGGGTTGCATTTGCCAAGTTTTATGAGGACAACGGGCAGCTGGATGATGTGAGTCCATTTGCATTGTGTATGTGTGTAGATGCATCCTTGTTCAGGGGACTCAGGCAGGTGGGTGGGCAGGGTCTCAGCCGGACCTCTGCCTGCCTCAGGCCCGCATCATCCTGGAGAAGGCCACCAAGGTGAGCTTCAAGCAAGTGGATGACCTGGCAAGTGTGTGGTGCGAGTGTGGTGAGCTGGAGCTCCGGCACGAGAATTACGACCAGGCCTTGCGGCTGCTGCGGGTAAATTCCCCGGGGTTTTGGAGAGGGGAGCATGCGGGTGTGTGACCCAGTCTGGACCCACCCTCCCAGCATCCCCCTCTGGTGTGTTTCTAGAAGGCAACAGCACTGCCCGCCCGCCGGGCTGAGTATTTTGACGGCTCGGAGCCTGTGCAGAACCGTGTGTACAAATCATTAAAGGTGTGGTCCATGCTTGCCGACTTGGAGGAGAGCCTTGGCACCTTTCAGGTGAGCTGCCGGGGCCCAATGCATCATGGGAGAGTGGTGGGGTTGCCAACTCAGCCCCAGGATGTGCTCTGACCTGCCCCTGCCCCTGCAGTCCACCAAGGCTGTGTATGACCGTATTCTGGACCTGCGCATCGCTACCCCCCAGATCGTCATCAACTACGCCATGTTCCTGGAGGAGCACAAGTACTTCGAGGAGAGCTTCAAGGTGAGGAGAGCCCATCAGGAGATCCCAGACAGCAGTGTCCCTACCCTCATTCAGTGCTGGCCCCTGTGTTAGTTTGCTCAGGCTACTGTAACGAAGTGCCATGGGCTTACGCACAGCAGTTTATTATCTCGTGGTTCTGGAGGCTGCACATCTGAGGTCAAGGGTTCATTCCTTCTGAGGCCTCTCTTTGGCCTGTAGATGACCATCTTTGTTCTTGTGCTCACCTGTTCATCATGTCTGTGCATGTTTCTGGTGTCTCTCCATGTGTCCAGGTTTCCTCTTATAAGGACACCCATCATATTAAAATAGGGGGCACCCTAATGACCTCATTTTAACTTACTTTTTTATTTTTTTATTTTTTTTTTTTTTATTTTTTTTTATTTTTATTTTTTTTTAAAATATTTTATTGATTTTTTACAGAGAGGAAGGGAGAGAGATAGAGAGTTAGAAACATCGATGAGAGAGAAACATCCATCAGCTGCCTCCTGCACATCTCCCACTGGGGATGTGCCCGCAACCCAGGTACATGCCCTTGACCGGAATCGAACCTGAGACCTTTCGGTCCGCAGGCCGACGCTCTATCCACTGAGCCAAACCGGTTTCGGCATTAACTTACTTTTTTAAATACCTTATCTCCAAATACCGTCACATTCTAAGATACTGGAGTTAGGCTTCCACATGAGTGTCAGGGGTCATGGCCTGCCTCTGTGTGTGTGAGGGGAGGGAGGGTGCTGGTGTGGGTATGTGGGCTGTC